GGGGTTGGGGGGGTAGGGAGGGCAGAGATCCCACTTGGGGTGGGGTTTTGGGGGTGTTGAGAGGAGAAGCAGCATCACTGGGATGATCCAACTCGTGCTGGAGGTGCTGGATGTGAGGAAATGGAACCAGTATCCTCAGGAAAAGCTGCTCCAGCCTTGGAGATTCTCAAGGGTTGGGATTGTTCCTTAAATTCCAACAACTGGGAATGAAGGATCTTTCCCCTGGATTTCCTGGAAGATTCCAACACGTGGATGGTGACAAAAATGGGAAGGGTTTGGAGGAGTTTGCTCAGTGAGGAGCAGGGATCCAAGGGGATTGTTTGATCCTGGTTGGAGAGATCCAGGCTGGAAGAGGCAATGCCAGGGAGCTGGAACAGGAAGGGGAGCACCAGTGTGGGATTGGGAAGCTGTGGTGGGAAAAGTGTCACCCCCAGCTCCCCTCCTGGAGCTGGCAGGAAAAATGATGGAGAAAGGGAAGGTGAGTCCATGTTGGAGCAGTGGATTTGGGAGAGTTTGGGATCCAGGAGAGGAGGGGATTGGTTTGAAACGTGGATGGTTGAAGATGAAAAACCACCTTGGGAAGGACGTGGAGGGAAGTTGGATCTTCCAGCTGGATGAACTGGAAGTAAAACTGAAGGAGAAAGGAGTGGTCGTGAGCTCCTGGGGAAGTGCTGAGCACCCAAGGGTGCTAAACCTCCTGAGGAGGAGGGAGGATCTCAGGAGAAGGCTACAGGGGTTGGGTTTTTAGGGAAGAGCAGGAATGGTGCCAACTGCCTCGGAGCTGAGGGGACTGTGAGGTGCTTCCCAGCTGCTTGGGAAAAAGCAGGAATTCCCAGCTCCAGGCTAGCTCTAACATTGCCAAAATACCAGGAATCTCACTCAAAAAGTGAGCTGCAAAGGAAACTCCTGTGCTTGGACACCCTGTGACTCCAAAATACCTCTGGAATTCCTGGAATAAACCTTGATTTCCCGTGTTTTAACCCAGTTGTTGCTGTGCTGGGAGCAGAGGGAGCTGCTCTGGCTGAGGAATGGCCTCAATTTGTGGGATTTCCTGCAATTTGTTTTTAATGACTCAAGAAACCTGGATTTGGGAATGGGAAGGAGAGCTGTGGGAATGAGGCTGGAAGGTGTGGAGGGAAAAAAAATGCATGGAAAAGTGCTCAAAGCAGCAGGATGAGGTGAGGTGGGAATATCAGCTGGGAAGCTGAGCAGGGCTGGTCTTGGGTCAAAACACAAGGATTTTGGGAAGCAAAGAACTTCAGTGGTGTCAGGAGGAGGAAGGAGCAAACCTGGAGGATTTAGAAGTCAGGACACAGAAGGTCTTGAACGCAGGGAAATATCTGGAGGCTCCTTGGAGCTGGAAGTGGTTATGGAATGATTATGGAATGATTATCCCAGTCGACAACTCCAGCATCTTGGGCTGTGGATTAAGGAAACCCCGAGTTCACCTGATGGGATTAAACCCTGGTCCCTCTGGAGGATCCTGACAGAATTCCCAGCTGAAGCATCCCCCACATAGCATAACTGAGGGATTTCTCCTCTCTTTTTTCTTCTTGGAAACTTCCCAGCAGGAA